TCAAAAAAAAAAAAAAAAAAAAAGGAATTGAGAAGGCTCCCTGGAAGGATTGGATGGCGAGGATGGACCAAGCTCTGACACCTCCCAGCTGCGTGGTCCTGGCAACTGCAGAGATCCAGACCACAAAGATGGGAAAGATCCACCCAGCTGCACAAAAGTCAAAGTCGAAGTGTGAGGGAGGCATCGTGCCCTGTGCATCGCACATGCATGTATCCTGGATCCAAGCGCACAGAAGAACCACCCGCACGGACTCTGCAACCCTTTCTCTGACTGTCAGTCTACGGGGATCTGAAATCTCTGAGCTGCTCAGGTGGCCCAGGGAAAGGGGAGAGCACCTGGAGGGGTCTGCGCACCGGGATGAGCCCTGCAGTGCCTTGCTTGGGGCTTGCCCACAGTAACTGGCCAATAAATACCTTGTGATTGGCGTCCCATTATGCAAATGGTCCAAAGAGGGTTTGTGGTTTGTCTGTTGGAGGTGAGATTTCATTTCTTTTATTTTTATTTTTGAGACAGGGTCTCACTCTGTCGCCCAGGCTGGAGGGCTGTGGCATGACCTGAACTCACTGCAACCTCCGCCTCCCGGGTTCAAGTGATTCTTCCACCTCAGTCTCCTGAGTAGCTGAGTCTACAGGTGCAGGCCAACCACACCCAGCTAATTTCTGTATATTTTTTTGATAGAGATGGGGTTTCACCATGTTGCCCGGGCTGGTCTAGAACTCCCGGGCTCAAGCGATCTGACCACTTCGCCTCTCAAAGTGCTGAGATTACAGGCGTGAGCCACCGCACCTGGCCCAGATATTTCATTTCAATGAGCTCATGAGCCACGTTCCTTTCCCTCTCCTCTCAGTAGTGTTGGGCAGGCAGTGGGAGCGAGTACAGGAAGCCATGGGGGCAGCTCTGCGAGAGGCCTCAGCTGCTCCATCGAGCTCCAGGGAATGGTTCTGGTTTGTGGATTGTGCTGGAAGCTTTGCAGTTGACACCTCCTTCTGCATTTGTGTAGCACTTATCAGTGTGTGAGTCCTAGGCACTCAGCTTGACATAACTTGCTAGGTTGGAGGTGGGAAGACCCTGTCTGCAGAGGGGGATTTTACTTGGCCCAATGGCACTCGCTTTCCAGGACTTACTCTGGGGCCTGGGAAGAGACTTTCCTAGGATGGCATTCTACCAGTGTGGGGTGGAGGCTGCAGAGTGCGTTCTTGTAAGGACTCAGATGCATGTCCGGGTTATCCAAACTCATGTCCATGTTATCACATCCTGTGGGGACTGGGAGTATCCTCATCACACAGATGAGGAAACAGGCAGGGGCTAATTGGCCAAGCCCTCCGAGCTGGGACAAACACTCAGGCACATGCCAGGATTCACCTCACTGTACTGACCCCAATACCAAACCCATTTCATCCTCACCAAGTTTGCCTGCACTTTGAATTGGCAGTGCACACATGTCAAAACTCAACCAGATCGACCACTTTGAGACTCCTGTCTCCCATTCATGACTTTGGGGAGAGGAGCTCAGATCACAGGGCAAGAGAAAAGCAAGATGGGGTTGGGAGTATGTCCCTCTAAGGACCCAAGAGACAGCTGGCCATGGCAGGCTCCAGCGCTCTTAGAGGACGGGTGCTGTGTGAACATGGCCTCAGGACATGGCCAGCCCTTCACTGGACAGACAAGTAAAAAAAGCACAGCCTGGGCAACACAGTGAGACCCCATGTCTACAAAAAAGTAAAAAGCCAGTGGACATGGTGGCACATGCCTGTAGTCCCAGCTACTTGGGGGGCTGAGGTAGGAGGATCGCTTGAGCTGGGAGGTCGAGGCTGCACTGAGCTATGATCAGACCCCTGCACTCCAGCCTGGAAGACAGAGTGAGACCCTATCTCAAACAAACAAACAAACAAACCAAACCAAACCAAACTAAACCAAAACAGCAGCTCCCCCAGGGTTCCCTAGAGACAGGACCAGGCACCGTGATCCTGACTTCGAGTCCAGTTCTCTCCCCTCCACCGTGTCTCTAACTGCCTGTCACAGAGGGACTCTGACGTTTAGCTGAGGGCCACCCGGTGGCAGAAGAGCATGAGGATCTTCCTCTGGGTGCAAAATTTAACAGCGTGCCCCCAAAATTCAGAAAACAAGTGAAATAATATTTGAATGCAATATTTTTTAAAAGTCCAAATCAAGGCCCAAAATCTATGATGACCAAAATACGAAACTTTTAACTAATGGCAGGGTCAGTAACTGTGTGTGACAAGCCATACATATCGGGGCCCAGGGCAACAGGGAACACAGTTAGCCCAAGCCCATCTTCCTTTACGGTCATGCTGTTTTGTTCACCAGGGACTGTCTGCATTCATTTTGAGATTTTATCTTTTACCTTTCCTGTGATGTTGACAAGGTTGATGTTTTAAGTGTTGTGTTAAAATATAATTTATCCCACCACTGAACTTTTGGTGCTGCCTTAAATTTTGTGCCTGGGGTGAGTGCCTCTCCTGCCCCACCCTATTCCTGGACTCCCTCCCGGGAAGTGGCCCACACTTTTGAGCTGGTTCTGACTCAGACACCCCCGTCAGCAAGCCCAGCCCCTGTCACTTGGAGAAACAAAAGCGCAAGGGGAAATGGGATGAGAAGGGCTGGGGAGGGGCTCTGCTGGCTGAAAACTTGGATAGTTATTTTGAAAATAAGAATTAAGGTCTGTTGTCGGGCTGGGAGATTGTGACACAATAGTGCTTGAAGGCGTCTTTCAATATGACCTAATTTCTCCAAAAAAGGGGACACATTTGGAAACAGTAAAAAGGAAGCGAGATAAAGCAGAGGAGGCTTGTTGCTAAAAAACAAGGACTGCGCAGTTTAAATGTGTCACCCCTCCCATGCCTTC